ATCGGAAGAAAAAAAACAGTGTAGAATTCTGATGTATTTGGAATTCGCTGAATTTCGGCAAACTCCAAATACACAGCTTTGTGTAAAGTAACGCTGCAGCCCACCCGCCATTATCAGATGGTTGCCCGCCGCCGCCAGTGTTGACCTTAATATATTTATTTTATATTGAATTTATTTTTCTTCAAACCAAAACATAAAATGTAAAATTCTGCATTTATTTTACTATGAATCAAACAACTCTAAAATATTTAAAATACAACACATTACTTCAACACTACATTCATTTTACACAACCTTCACTTTTCAACAAACAAACAATCCCCTAATTTATCTTTCCATAAATGTCGCACTCGCATTGACTCACTAATATTATAATTATTTCTCGATCTATTTTCCTAGTTTTGTAACACATTCACCCTAACCTTCTAATTTTTCATCAAATTCACTAATATAATGATCATATCTCAGTCTAATATTTTTAACTTTCCACACATCCACCTTAACCTTCAAATTTAATCTCATGTTCGAATTTTTTATCAATGACTTTACACCCTAATGCTCAAATTCGCATATTATAGTTGGCTTAATTAAAATTTTATATAATCTACCTTCAAGATATTCTCCTTGGCCATAGCTCGAAGTTATATCCACATCTATATATTCACATTTATTTTTCTTTTGTAATAGATAAAAACTATTTTAACCTATCAAATCTAAGTATCACTTTATATTCTTAAAATCACCACCAAGCTCCAACAACATGCTTAACAATTTTGGAAGAACAACTGCCTGCAAGAACAGCCAAAAGCATGATTATTACAACATAATGAAAAGAAAAAAGGTAGCATCAAACTTCCCAAATAAATCACAACCAAAACTGAAGAACAAATTTTAGGAATTTTTTTCACCTACCATACCAAAAAATATTAATGCAAAAAAAAGTGGTGTAATTGAAGATTATTCCAATTATACTTCATAGATGTACTCACATTCTCCACAAGCTTCTCAACGACTGCTTGCATGTAGTTTCTGAACTTCGATCTAAGCATCAACATAACTTCACTGAGGTGCTCGCCAACTGATGTATTACCACCATCAGGTATATAAGATGCCCAAGATTTAAATTGCACTTCTAGCTTCGGCCACAAAACATCGAGCAACCGTTTCATACTATTTAGCAGAATGCCAAGCTGGTGGCAAAGAACAAAAAATATGAGATGAATAACTATCAACTAATGGAACGATAAAAAAAAAATAATAAAATAAAAATTCACTTCATCAGGCACGGTGTAAGGCCCTGCATTGCTACGGGAAGCCAATTTCTGCACATATTTGAGGCCAAATTTTTTGGGTGTAAGAGCATCCTTTAAGGGAGCCAAAACATCACCATACTGCCTCTCTAAAGCCTCAATTACAGCTTTCTCAACATCTGCAATAGCCTTTAGTTTGGTTCAAGGCAAAAGGGAAAAGATCCATAAGCAGGCATATTAAAACTTTGCAAAATGCATAACAAATAACATACAAAAAAAATGTGGCCCTTCTTTCTTATAGACATACGTTCTCAAGAACCGCAGTGTATTCTGGCCATCGACAGATGATAACTTCGTACTCGTTGAGAGTTTCTCTCAGTACATCGTACATGCCATCGACAAATGGAGTTGTCATATGCTGTGTTCTAACACCGGACCATTTCACCTGCCCAATAGTCAAAAAGAAACATGCAAGTACATAATAGAAACATAAGTATTATTTCAAAGATTTAAGAAAAACTATCATAAGGTAGAAAAAGAATTAGGAAATATCTTAACGATGTAGTACTCCACACCAAGAAAGAAAAAAAAAGTTCCAAATATTACTTCCCTTACATATTAAAGTTTCTTTCATATCATGAGAGGACTATATGTCCATAATCATAAACTTCGTAAAAACTCGATGTGTGTGTGTGTTTTTTTTTTTCCAAATATTAATTCCCTTGTATATCAAATTTTCTGCATATCATGAGAGCACCATATGTCCATAATCATAAACATTGTAAAACCTTAATGTATGCAGGAATAAACATGGGAGTCCAAGCAGTTGCATGGTACATGCTAAAAAGTCTGAAACACCGTGTCCACCAAAATGTTCTAATCAAAGAGTCCAGCATTTTTTGTTCATGAATTATACAGTTACATCCACTAAAACAAATTAGAAAAAGGAATAAGAAAAAGCAAACTAATGTTTTGAATGATAATTATGTGCCATTGATGTAATTTGTTGCTCAGCACGGGATAAAATTACCACTGCTCTAACAAAAAAGGAAAAGCCGGTCTTTAAACGTGTTGCCATTAATCTTTTAGTTGTTTTAATTTTTTAAGAGCAAAGAAGATAAAAAAACATTAACAAACAAGAATTTGCTAGCCTCCCGGCTAGAATACATTTTAGAACAAAGGAACTCAAGCATTGTATATAATATAACGTAGTTGAGTAAAGCATCCAACTAGACTCCTGACTATTTACATGGGACCACTTTAGTACCATAATCTATAAGAAGTTCAAATCAGTCCCCACACTTTTAATATAGACAGAAATAGTGCCGAGGGAGGACTATTTCAGCCCCGATTTAAAGAGGCATGCATCTTTTTTACTTAGGCACCATTTTGTCACTTTTTCTATCAGGGTTCAGATGAATTTATGAAGAATTGGTAATAAAGAGATAATATATGAGCATGCATTTCACCAAACCTTAACAACATTTCATAGATCCATCATCAAGAATCTTTGTACTTAGCTCATACAATATATGAGCTCGAGTTCGAGCTCAAGGCAACTCAACTTGTTGCATGCATTTCAATTAATTTGCATTGCTAAATTATATGTATTTCAATTATTTTGCATTTATAAATTAATTAATTTTTAAAACATGAAACCAAAAAAAATCCCTTAATAAGTATGTTTTACACTTCAATGTTTGGGTTTCATTTTTTGTGCATTTATTGTTCAACTCCACGATAGCAAACATGGAGGAAGTTTGACCAAACAACCACGATAGCTACTGCATTGTCTAAACTGTCCAAGTCCTAAATTTTGTAGGAAGTTTAGACAATGCTTTCAACTAAGAACAACAATATAAGGAGCAAGAAAATGCTAAAATAACCTCTCAACCATAAGAAGTAAGGCATATATGAATGACAGGCAAAGTGCGTAGGTAAGTTCGGGCCACATCAAAAGGTGGGTAATGGGCGATGCATAAAGCTGCAAACAAATAAAGACTCCTCACAAGGTTTATGATCTCCTAAATTAAAAATATAAACCAAATCACAAAACTAGTTGATCTTTTTTGGTTGGTTTGCGCTTGATTTGAAGCTTTGAAAAATTAAAATAAATTAAATTGAAGTAATCAGGCGAAATGCATGCAGCTAAAAATCCACCTAATTTCTAGTACTAGTAGTCAACAACAGCAACAACAAGCCGTTGTCCCATTAAGTGGGGCTGGCTACCTAAATCCATTTTCTCCACTGTGTCCTATTGAGTGCCATGTTTTATATAACATGCCCAAGTTTTTTTAGGTCTACCTCTATCTTTCTTAACATAAGTTAAATTTAAAACATCTGCTCTCCTAATAAGGTCAACATATGATTGATGTTTACCGTGACCAAACCATCTCAACAACGATTAACTTAATTTTAAGTTTTTTTTTTCTTTCCCGGGCCAACATTTTGCACCATAAAGCATTGCAGGTCTCACCACCATCTTATAAAATTTTCCTAAGTCTAAGCAGTACTCTTCTATCACAATTGGCCTAATGCATTCCTCCACTTCAACCATACAAGTTGAATTCTACTAATAACACCCAAATCTATATCACCATCACTTTTTTAACGGAAAAGATTTCTTTCTTAATCACAATTTAAAACATATATTACATATTTATATACTTTCAACACTTTAGATTAGGAATAACTCTAATTTAAAAAATATCCTATAATTATATCTTCTTTAATTAGATTGCCTAATACCAAGTTTCCTAACATACAAGATTCAGATTTATGACTTTCCATAACACTCCCCCGTCAAGCTGGAGCATAGATATTTGTCACGTCCAGTTTCTTACAAATAAAAGTGACCCTCACTCCATTAAGAGCCTTTGGAAAAATATCCCATAATTGTTCCCCATTCTTCATATGAGCTATAGAAATCAGATTTTGTTGAATCTTTTCACGAACAAAATGAAAATCTATCTCAATGTGCTTAGTTTGTTCATGAAAGGCAGACTTTGAGGCAATATAAATTATAGCTTGGTTATCACACCAGAACTTTGTTGAACCTATCATCTTAAAACCTTTCTCTGTAAAGAATTGGGATACCCACATCAATTCACTCGAAGCTTGTGTCATTGCTCGATACTCAGATTTAGTACTAAACTGTGGCACTAGTGATATGAAATATCCGATTAATAATTCCCAAATTTATAAGTGCTTATGATCAATTAGAAATTAAACCACAGGATCGCACCAATTTGAGAAAACATAAAAATATAAATAGAAAACACAATCAAAGCAACCAGAAAAACACGCGAGAATTTACGTGGAAAAACCCGATAATAGGAAAAAACATAAAGCCACACCACTATAAATTCCAATATGAAATTCAGAAAGTTTTACAAAAAATTCACACAAGTTCTATCTACACACAAAAAAAACTTGCAGGACGCGCTACACAATCTACCCTCTCTGATATGACCCAAAATCACGTCGAATCATTAAAATCCACCTTCTAGACACTTCTCACCTTCATCGGGATGCTCGTCGAAGAATTCAGAAGAAAGAAACTCAAAGCGTCATAAAAAGCTGCTCAAAATCGGGATTAAAAAAAATCCCGAAAGAAAACTACCCCGGGCGCTTAGGCGCCTAGACTTGGGTACCTAAGCGTCAAGCCCTCTATTCGACGCTAAATAATGGGCGCTTAGGAGCCAATAAATTGGCGCATAGGTGACAATCCCTCTGGATGTGGGCGCATATGCGCCCAAAGCCGGTGCCTAAGCGCTGACTCAACTGTGAGCCGCGCCCGGAGCTAGACTACCCATACTCGGCACCTATGTGCCAGCTCCCCTGCTTTGTCTCGACATATGGTAGCAATCTCCCACTTGGAGATAAAAGCAATGAGCATCTGTCCTCTGTACCTGCACCTCCATCTGATAGCCTTTATAGTCACGTACTGTAGTCACGTGTCGTGGAGTGGCTCACCCCCGATCTCAACCTTCATGAAACCCAATTGAAGCCAAGCATGACTTCAATTTCTTGATAGTCACAACATTCATCAACATATCCGCAGGATTCTGAACTATATGTATTTTCTCTAGGAAAAATTGCCCGTCTTCATAAAGAGAGCGAATGAAATGATACCACAGCTGAATGTGTTTCGTCCTGGCATGAAAAACAACTTTCTTAGCAAGATAAATCACGCTCATACTGTCACTATCAAGTTTTCCAATCCTCTGCTTCTTGTCCAATGCAATCATGAAGTTCTGTAGTCAAATCATCTCTTTTCTAGCCTCAGTGATAGCAATATATTCAACCTCTGTAGTTGAAAGTACAATGATCTTCTGCAACCTGAAAACCCAACTCACTGATGCGTCCTCAATGTAGAGATATACCCTATTGTACTTCTCCTACTGTCTGCATCTCCTGCTAGATCCGAATCTAAGAATCCTTGTAGACTTAGCATTGCATTTTCATAACAAAATACCGTGTTGATGTTGATTGTTCCTCTCAAATACCTAAGAATCCACTTTACTGTCTCTCAATGATGCTTGTTTGGATTGCCCATGTATTTGCTAACATACGAAGACTACATATGCGATATCTGGCTTGGTACAAATCATCACATACATCAAACTTTCAACTTCTGAAGTATACGGAGTTCTCTCCAGCTGTGCTTGCTCTACTTCAGAGTTAAGTGTTAACTCAATATATAATTTGAAGTGACTACGTAAGGAAGTGCTAACTGGTTTCGCCTCATTCATGTTGAACCTCTGTAAGATCTTCCCAACATACTTTGCTTGAAACAACCTCACTGTTCCTGCACTTCTGTCTCTGTTGATTCTCATAATGAGGATCTTCCTGGTTGAACCTAACTCTTCCATCTAGAACTCACTTGATAACTGATTCTTCCAATCCCTCATTTTCTTCATATTTGCCCCTGCAATTAGCATGTCATCCACTTACAAAAAAAAACAAAATATAATAATTACTGAAGTGTTTGATGAAGCAACGGTGATCTGCCTGACAATTCATACACCCATTGTCTGGCATGAACATGCCAAACCTCTTGCACCACTGTCTCGAGTCTGCTTCAAGCCATAAAGACTTTTCTTCAATCTGTAGACCAAACATTCTTTGTCTGAAACCTTGTGACCTTTTGGTTGCACCATGTACAGTTCCTCCTCCACATCTTCATATATAAGAAAGCAGTTTTTACATCCATCTGTTCCAGATGTAGATCTTTTTCTGCTACCAAACTCAGCACAACTCTGACAATCGTCATCTTCACCATTGGGGAGAAGATCCCTGTGTAATTCACTCCTTCCCTCTGCTGAAAACCCTTCACAATATGTCTTGTCTTGTAACACTTGCTACCATATGACTTTTATTTAAGTCTATAAACTCATTTGTTGTGCAGTGCATTTTTGTCATTTGGTAGTATCGTTAAATCTC